TAGATGTGGTATTCGGTGGTAAAAAAATGAGCTCAATATATTTTAAATTATCGACCGTCGGGTGTGCTGGGCAGTTACCTATTATGAACGCTACTTTCTTATTTTCTTTTGTAAACTTTGTATCCATTTCTCGTATCCACTCTTCAAACAGTACGCTATCCATCCAGCTTTTATTTTGATCTCTGTATCTGCAAGGTAAATGCTTAATTCCTTTGAAGCAGCGAGGTGATTTTGATTTACCTATTACAAACATAGAAATTTTATCATACGTTGCACTTGCTGCGACCACTCCTGTAAGACAAATTTTACTGTGCTATTCCCCCTATACACGTCTCAGATTGAATATTTAGTGACTTATTAGGTTGCATACGAAAAAACAATCCAAAAATCATCTGCATTATAAATTTCATCAAGTTTATACCTGGATAAAATTGTAGGGAGACTTGTTTCCTTCCATTTATATTAATTTTTTGAAATCCATTTATATTAATTTTTTCAGCCAGTTTTCTGGCTTTTGTTTTAAGAATTGTTGCTGATACTGTCACGTTTCTACTCCTTAGATTTAAAAGCCATTTAAAAACAAGATTATCTAAATTTGAAAATGTTCCTTGGTTAATTCTCATACGTTTTGATTTGTTCCCTAGCGTCTTCATACATTCGAAAATTTTTTCTTTATTTTTGATCGATGTTGACAGCGTATTTTTTGAAATGCCATATTTCATAGCAACCTGAGACTTTGACAATCCTTCTCCAATTTCCTTAAAGCAGCGTACTTTTCTTTAATTGATTTTGTAATCATTTTTTTCTTTGCAGTGACAATAGCCATAATAAAATGTAAGCGCAACAATTTTATTTTAATAATGCAACGCACGTTAATATAACTTTATTTATAAACTTAATTAAACTATTATTATCGTTAACATTGCAATGCAAGGTCTTCACTGCAGTTTTTTTTTTCTTCATATTTTTGCTCTATAGTTCGAGTTATCGGAAAAATATTAGCCATGGGAAAAGATAAAATGGTTCGACTAAGCGAATGTTCGAGTTAACGGGTGTTCGAGTTATCGAGCTGTTTTTATGTGAAAGTATCAGTGAGGGTTTAAGGGGAATTCAAAAGTTGGTCGAGTTACTAGAAGTTCGAGTTATCCGGGGTTCGAGATAAATAAAATACACAAATATCAAAAAAAAAAAAAAAAAAAAAAAAAAAGAAGAAGAACGCGGAAACTCGCAGAAGACCTTCAGGTCTTATCATCGAGAACCGTTCGTGAATATTAAGTACATTAAACTATCATGAAATATAAAATAAAAAACCAAACAATGTCGTAGTAATAATTAGTAATAATTAGCGAGAACGTAAATTATATAAATAAAATTAGTACAAAGAAATTCTTGATACTTTTATATATAAATACAAAAATATTTTAAAAAGTTTTCATAAACACATAAGATGTGGATCAGGTATAATACTTATATATTACCTTATGTAATATGCTTCATTTGTAATAAATTCAGAAGAATTTAAAAATATAAAAATATACCTTCAAAAGATAAAACAATTTCTTTTAGTTTTTTCTTTAATGAAAGATAATTCCATTCATGGGAAAATTAAAAATTTTTAAAACTATTTTGTTCCAAAAAAAAACTCCTCGATATAAAATACATGACGTTCCAAAATTAGTCAGAGATAAACGTTGTCGAATTAGATTATCATTTCTTAAGTTATATTTATTTTTATCTTTTAAGGTATATAGATTATGAAAAGAGACATGAGATACGTTGGTTTTACATTTGTACATAAAACAAAGTATATTAAAAATATTCAGCTGATAAATATTAAGAATTTTCATTTGAAATAATTATGGTTTGACACGAGCAAATTGATCTTTATAATTGATAAGACAGGCAACAAGCTTCTGCTAACGATAAAGAGGTAGCAGTTTAGATTTATTGGTATTACCCCAAGCAATATTTGCATAATTTAAATGGCAATAGATTAAAGAGAAATATAATTGTGAAACTATGTTTATTTAAATCATTTCTAGCTTTGTTCATTACTCCTATATTTCGAGCAACTTTGTTGCACAACAAATCAATGTGATTTTGTCAATAAAAAGTAAGGGCATGGCAGAATTTTGAATTTTGTCAATAAAAAGTAAGGGTATGGCAGAAGGCAGTAGCTTTTTTGTTGAAGTTTGATGAAAAATTATCCATTTAGTTTTCTCAACATTTAGTGACGGTTTATTCGATTTAAACCAGTTAGAAACTTCTATTAATTAATGTTCATATTTTGGAATAATGTTGTTATGAGATTAAAATTTAGTATAATCGGCAAACATGACCGTTATTAAATTTGAGGCTTTAAGGAGATCATTAATGTAAATTAGAAAAAGAAGAGGTCCAATTTTTTCCGCAATTCGGTTGTTCTTTTGCTTAAATTCTCATTCACATAAATTCTTTGATCCCAGAGTTTCGTCTTTATATATTTACCGAGCACTGCTGATTTGCACTTAAAATTAAAAATTTGACCATGATAGTTCTGCATTTTTTAATTATATCATCTTTATTATTCATTTCAACTCTATGAGCACGTTTAATAATGAATTCGCCTTGAAGATCAAGTTTTGTTTTTATTAGTTCACGAACTTTTCTTCCACAATCGTCCCAACTTTCATCAACTGATTTTTCTATACCGGATATTCTTAAATTATTTCTTAATGGTTGAACTATTTTCTAAGTTTCTATTTGGTTTTGCGCGATCAGCCTTCTACCCCTCTTGCTCAATTATTACTTCGTCGTATTTTTCGCTAATAAATTCGACAGCTTTTTTCGATTCGCTTATTTCAGTTTTAAGAATTTTATTATCATCATTCAACTTATCAATATGTTTTTCCAATCTTTCAATTTTTTCATTAAATATTTTAATATCTGTGTTCTCGTGAATGTCTAATATTTCTTTTAATTGTGAGGTCGTTAAATTTTTAGCCATTTTTGTTTTGTAAAAACAAAAATGGCGAAAAATTTAACGATTTGTAAAAACACGTCTGTTCGCGGTAAAGTATAAACGTTAAACCTTTGGTTTCAGTTGGCTGAGCAAATAACTTGCGCAAAAACAATACAAAGATTTTTTTGTCCAGGAAAAATAAACCATCTTCTTGACATTATTTCGTAATGTTTCAGCACATGCAAATAGTGTTATACTGAAAATAAAGTATTGCTTAGATCTTTAGGAAAATGCTGGCTTTTATTTTAATTTGTGTAGGACCTTGCTTAACAATGAAGTTTCAGACATCATCACATAAAATGTTAAGTATCTCTGCAAGATCTAGAAAACAGCTTTGATAATCTGTCTTTATAAAACAGCTAGGTTTATAAAGACAGATTTTCTATTGGAGTGGGATTATGACTTTTGCCTGTGCAATATTTTTGTCTAAAAACCAGTTTCGCCATCGATAACCTGCTGCAACTCATCTGTTACCTTATCTTGATCACTGCAAATTTTTTGATTGCTCCCTTCTGGCTGGCAATAAATTCCTTTTTTTTCCTTTTTTTATACCACCTGATGGATATTTCCTATATATGTCTCTTTCCCTTCTAGGCATGACAGTTTTGATCACAATAGTAAAATGAAATAAAAGCAACTAATAGTAATAAATACAGCTATTGATATATTATTGATTTCTTATGACTGATTATGTGGAAAAGAAAAAAAAAAAAAACGCACACACAAAAAACAATAACAACAAAGCAATAACCTTCTGCGTAGAAAACATAATTTTATTTTGAATTAATTACAACACAAATTTAAAATTTTATTACCAAACAAATTTACTGCTATCAGCAACGCACTACAACCATTATACCGCTCAGGTATAATGACTGTAGTGTATCATACCTTGAACAAAAACCAAATAATTTCTGTTTGTCTGAAGGCGTGGGACAATGGTCCATTTTATCGCCACATTTGTAAAATATCTTTGCTAAAAGTATATTAATTTGCAATCTGTAACAAATTGTTACAGATTGCAATGTTGGAACAACAGTAAGTAGCATATACACAGACATTATTGCTTATGCTCACAATATAATTCTACAAAGCCCTACTCTTTGTGGTCTACGAGAATTAGTTAATAAAGTTCAAGTTCAATGCAAAAACCTTTATATTAAACTAATCATTAAAAAAAACGAGTTTAATACCTCAGGTAAAAGTTCAATTACAAAGAACACAATTCAAATTAACGATTCTTCCCTACATCTCAAAAATAGACTAAAACATCTTGGATTCTTATGGGACAATCGAGACCATACAAAAAATATAGCTGCTCTCAAACACCAAATGTAAACGAACGCATTATTCAATTTCAATTAGTCTCCAGAGCTCTTAAAAAATCTGGAATTCTTTTTTGCTAGCCACTAATCATAATGCATTTATTCAAACCTCTTGCTCTACCGAATCTATCATATGGCTTGAATTTGTAATTAAAACAAATTTTTAAGTCGTATAACTACTAAGACTACTGAGCAATCCAACTTGTTTCTTCCTGATTTTGACACAAATATCAAAGATTAATAAGTTTAACCACTTTATCAACGAAGTAATGCAAATTTGCAACCATTTGACGCTAAACTTCGCCCAGTGTTTGATAGACGCTAAAAAATAAATCATTTTCAAACATCCAAATGCTGACGTAGAAGATAAAGAAGCGGCAATTTAAATGAGTCCTTTGAATTCTGGAATATAAAAGAACAAAGTACCATATTTAAAAATTTTATGAAAGAAGATATTCCAAAAAAAACTCTAATATAAATTAAACTTCAGACTAATTGTATTAACTACTGGTTTTATGCACTTGGTTTTTTTTTTTACCTAAAAAAAAGAATAAATAAGTAAAAAATAATTTACCGTCGAATTTTTTAACTCAACGAATGACATGTCGTGATGCTGGTCTACGTAAACGACATGAACGAATTTCATCATAAAAAACGTGAACGTGTTTCATCATTGCGTATTATTTAATTACAATTGCTCGAGTGTTGCGTAGGTTAAGTAAAAGCAATCCTGTTTTTTTTTTTCTAAAATGAGTGATGTTACAGAAGATCTAAAAGATATATCAATATCAGGTAAGCTGCTCGATTCTTTTTTTTCTAACTAAGACTCTATAGACCACTCGACTCAATATTTACGTAGGAAGCATTCTATAAGATAAAATTAGTGAAAGAACATTAGTGCTTCAGGGTTTTATTTCTTTTTATACTTTAATTTGTACTTTAAATAAATATTTTATAAACTATTATTTACAATAGTGTTTAAGATGAATATTTTTTTTTTTTTTTTTTTTTTTTTTACTATTGGAACTATAATTTAACTGTATGATCATATAGTTCAGAATATATTGATTGATATATAATTTTATGGAAATGTTGCAGAATAGTGCCGTAAAATAATTTTAATTTTCTGCTTTAAAAAAATCTGTGATGGAGTTTAACTAAAGTAAAAAGTCATTTCTCTAAACAAAGATGAACTATTTAAAAAAGTTTAAAGCTTGTTTTTCAATAGTTTTTAAAGCAAACATAAAAGCTTGTTAGACGTAAATTGCATTGACAGTTTGGTACATCAGAAAATCTTTTTACATCATGAGTTAATTTAGCATCAACGTTTTAAAAATAACCTTTGTTTTCAGCATTAATTTTTGCCTTAGCTGTCAATATTCTGTTTAAACTGTAACATAATCATACAAATATATATCATGTTTAATTAAATAAAGTTTATTAACGTTATTATTTATAAATGGTAAAACAGTAATGATAATAAAATGATATAATAAAAAAATCAAACAAAATATGTATGTGACAAATTTTTAAACTGGTTTTGTACCAGAATGTTAAGTATCCTCAACTGAATGATTCTACAAAAGATTATGAAGTTTTAAGTAACAAACCTTTAATATATAGGTTTGTTAAAAAACTTTGGTTTTTCACTACAAAAATTGTTATGATTTAGCTAACTCTTATGTAAATGTTGAAAACTAAATGTCAAAAGATAGTTGTAAAGTTGGGATACAAGTTTACATTAGTCTTAAGCTGCTGGTATATCCCAGGATCTGAACTACAATCTTTTTCACCCAGAAATGCTTATTTCTCATTAATAAGGGTAGGCAGTTGCATGAATGGTTTAAACTAAATATTTTGACTTTAAAGTACGTTTAGATGGAAGATGCCATCAAATGCTGCACATTGATATCAAATTTATGTTTCTAGCCTAATTAGAAGTTTGTTGTTATTTTGACATCATAAAATTATTATTTCTTTATTATTTAAGAACATTAACTTTTTTAAACTACTGCAATAAAATAAATTACTCCAAAGCAAGTTTATTTTACTAATTAAGAAAAACAAATCTAGAAGTGTTATTTTCTAAATGTACATGTATTGTGGAATGTCTATTTGCTTCAATTTTTTTTTGTTTTCTAATATTAAATTAAATTTAATATTATATTTTTTATTATCATTTAACATAAATAAATTTTTTTCTTTGCTCGGCGTTTGTATAAATGATTTTAAAAAATTTAATTTTTTTTTTCATTATTTTTTAAAATTGCAACTTTGCAAATGATTTATTACTTTAAAAAGTTATTAACAAAAAAAAAAATTACTTGTTGCAAAGAAAAAAACTCAAGTTAATTACTTTTAATGCTTCTCATTTCCCGTAAAAATCTAATTCCCTTGATTCCGGGACAAAAATGCAAATTTTTGTCCCGGAATTGTAAGTTCAAATAAATACAAAAAAAAGAGGTTTAAATACTATTACTTTTAAAAGAAAATATGGATGTGTAAGTTCAAACAAATACAAAAAAAAGAGGTTTAAATACTTATTTTTAAATTACTTTTAAAAGAATTTTAAATTACTTTAAATTTTAAATTACTTTTAAAAGTTAAATTACTTTTAAAAGTTAAATTACTTTTTAAAGAAAATAAAGACAAAACAATTCTTAGAAACTAAAGCTCTCAAAATAAAACAAATATAAGCTTCAATAACATATTTTATATATATTAACTTTTAAAATAATTTTTTAAAGAACATAAATTGTCAATAGCGCTATCACTCAACGATGATCAAATTTTCATAATAAAAAGACCTGCTGCAGAAAAAGCTATTTCTGAATTGATTGAAGTGGGCGAGATAGTTAATATATCATTATATAATTTGTCTAAATTATTTGTATGCTATTTCGTCCCATCAAAAATATCCATTTCTTTTATAATATTTTTAATGTCATATAACACATCTTCTGGACTCTTAATTCGAATAATGTTTGTAATCGCAGCTTCTAATTTTTGATGAAGTGTTGATTCAGATGTTGTCTTCAAATTTCGTTCGGCCATAATCAACGTTTCAGTCTCGTCATTACTGCGTTCTAATTCTTCAATTTCAGCATAATTTCTATCACCATCAATATCCTCAACAAAAAGCTTAGAAAATAATTTTGTAGTCATAGCTTGAAGGATTGATTTGAAAGGCAACAATAATACAGAATCTATGTTCGATTTATGTTTATAATTTGATGGACTATTAAAATATTTTAGCAACCCAACTAAATTTTTACTCCGTCTTTCAACAATTCTCTGTTGCACACACTACAGCATTTTACCTGGAAAAAAATCTTTATTTTTTGCGCCAAACATAAAATATAAATACTAATACACCCTCTGCATCAAGTTGGGATGCGTTGCGTTGACCAAGTCTTTCAATTTCCAATTTAATTGGTTGTAACGCCGTTACTACAGTCTGCACATCTAAATATTCCTCCTCTGAAATATTGTTAATATTGCTGTGTTTAAAATCTATCAATGCTTTTAATATACATGTTTTTAATGCAATAAATCGTTCTAACATTGCAAGAAGGCTATTCCAGCTTGTTTTTACATCCAGTATTAACTTGAGTTCTTTATTGTATGTAATTGTTACGTGTTTTTGTAAAATTTTATTTTTGAGTGGTGATTTACGAAAGATTCGTACAGTTTTACAGATCTTTTGAATTGTTTGTGCTATACTTATGCAGCATAATAATTGGTCAGTGAAATCAAAGTCTCGTAAATTTAATAAATTGTTGTTTTGGCTTGGCTGTAATTCCACTGAAGTTGTAAAATCAATTTCTTCAGACTCGTCATCTTCACTATCATTTTCATCAGAATTCTGACTGTTTTACATTATACATTTTGACTGTTTTACAGAAATCTGACTGTTTTACATTACACTCACTGCCTGATAAATTTGAAATCACTGATTTTTTGTAGAGAACATCAAACTGCTAAATGTAGGTCATGTGCATAACAAATTTGATGTTTCATCCCGCTTAATCTTTCATATTTTTTCATAACTAATGCACCGTCAGTTACGCCAGAAATTATATGCTTTTTTGTAGATAAATTAAATTCGGATTATTTATTTTCAACCACATCAATAATTTTTTCAGCTGGAAGCGACCCAACTATTCGAACCATGCTCAAGTTCCAAAGCCTAGTTAATGAATGCACATTTAAATTCAAAAAGCGACGATTTTTTAGAGATGTGTGTTTGTCCATTAAAATATATAATCTTGAACCACCTTGATTTTGCACAGTCATTTTTATCATAGTCATTTTTATTACTTTTTATCAAATTCATTTCATGTGAAGGGTTTTTTCGCAATATCATTCCTTTATCAGATAAAGATTTCCTTTTAAATTCAGATTTTGCAATAGCTTTAATAGAAAAACCATCTACAGCTGCCAATTTTGAAACAATTTCTTCTATAGATTTCTTTTTTATAAATGACGTAAATTTAGGTTGAGCATTTCTAACTTCAAAACTTGTGTCTTCCTTTGGCCTTTTTTTCGGTACTTCTATTTCGACTTCCTTGTGAAGATTTATTAAATGACAAAAAAGACCACAAGTTGAAAATCCTTTGCACATTAATGATGTTTTACATATATTACAAGTGGCAGATTCTGTGTTTTTTTCTTTTGTAAAATTTTCCAATACCTTAGATCCACTTGACATAATGCGCTATATTTGTTATCCTATTAATTAAATTGATTAAAATATAAATATAAAACTATATTACCTACAATTAAATCCCGAAATAGTGTGCTGATAGTAGATTTACTTAAATTATTATTAAAATTAGCTGTAATTACTAAACATATATTTTAAACTTCACTTATTTCACTTTTGACATACAAACTACTTTCTTAACGTAAATAATTACTTTACTACTAACTTAACTTTTATGCGTAACTAATTACTTTTTTTGCACGTACAAGTACTTGTTATTTTATATTGATTTGGTTTGTTTGTTCAAGTTTTATATGCTGTAAGTTACAAAATAAAAGTAAACCAAATCTATTTATAAATCAAATTCAATAATAATATTTTATCTATCTCAGTCACAAATTAAAACTGCAAAATATTGGTGATTTAATTGCCCTCTATAAGATATCTTCCTAATTTTTATAGAAATTCATTATAAAAGGGAAAAGGAAGTAATTAGTACTCAAATTTTGAGTAATAATATTTTTAATATCTTTACAAATATAAAGATATTAAAAATGTTATTATTCAAAATTTGAGTAAAAATATGTTTAAAAAAATTACCGGGATTCCCGGAAAATTTCATTGAAATCCTGGGATTATGGGATGGTTTTTTACCTCTGGGATCCCACAAAAATGGGATCCCGTTTGAGAAGCCCTAATTACTTTACCAGTGAGTTTTTTTTTGTGACAAAGATTTAAGTTTCTAAGTATCATTTTTTAATAAATATATACTGTTACGTCTTAAGACAAAAAAGTTTAACGTATGTTTTATAAATATTTTTAATGCAATGTTATAAGTTATAAAATGTTTACATGACATTTATTTTTTTGTAAAAAATAAAAAAAGAGGAAGAAAGACAGAAAAAAAAACTTTTATAAAATAAAATTTAATGAATACTTATTTTTAGCTAATTATTTTTTGTTTTGTTTTATATTATTTTTTCAAAATTAGGTAATTATTTTTGTTATTGTTTGTTATGAGAATTTGATTAAATAAATATTCTTGCTTTATTTATGTTTATTTTAAGATTTATTTTTTAACACGCAT